GTCAGGACATGTAAGAATCACCCTTCAGCCAGAAAATGGTAGATCCTTTTACTATGAATCATGCATTTCCCAGAAGCCTCTGATTCCCTGAAATTTTCCTTGAGGTTCTGAGAGGCACTAATGAGCTCTTTCAAATGGCACCATTTTTGATCATGTCTGCCTCAGCATTCTAGTAAGGAAAACCGGCCTTAGCCTTTCACATTGAAGATTTGGTTGGGTTTCATTTCGTCACTTCCTCTCCTGCTGCTTCTTTCTATGGGCTGGCTTGGAGTGGTGATTTCAAATAAAATTTAAAAAGAAACTCCTGACATGCCTAAACAAACCTGACAACCGTTTGGAAATATAAGTAGAGTCACTGAACACTCTTCCTTCAAGAAAAGCCTTCTTTCAAAGCCCACTGCCTGGGAGATGAAGTCATGTCAGGCGGGCAGAGAGAATTATTCCAAAAGTAAATCTAAGAGCAAAAGATTTGAGCAAAATGAGCAAAAATGACCCCTCTCATTCCCATGCAACAGTCACTGCAGGTAGGGGCTTTTCTCATAAACTCAGTTGGTGTGTTCATTCTATTTACTGAGCATCTATACAGCCCAGGAGCTGGAAGAGAGGAATCAGAATTCTAAGACGAAGGACAGACAAGTCTCTCAAAGGATTATATACTTTATTTACAGACATGGACAGTGATTTTATTTTTTAAAAATCTTGAATAAATAGGGAACACAGTGCTCTCAGTCTATGGACCGGAATCTACCAACGTTTTTTTCATTATCTTATGGCCTTTTGTTCTTGCAACATTTATATAGTTAAGATCATCTTGAATATACAATTTGAGGGTTTTTTTTTTAAGTTTACATGAAAAAACATGTCCCCTACCATGAAAACATCCTAGTCAATATCATCTTTAAGTAAGTGCCCGGTATTCCATTGTGTGGGTGTAGCATAAAATTCATACAACATTCCACAGTACTGGGCGTTTAGGTTGCTTTGGCAATAAGAAATAACATAGTGATTAGCATCTATGCCCATACGTCTTTGTCGGCATTTTTGATTATTTCTCAAGAAGATTCCCAGAAAAGGAATTACTGAGTAGAGAGTATGAATTTTAAGGCTTTTTTCAAGCCCATTGCCACATTGCTTTCCTGAACATCGGGAGCCATGCTTTTCTCCCCACACCCTCACCAGCCTTGAGTAGTGCCATAGTCTTAATCTTGCATGATGCAGCAGGGGGCAAATTGTATTTTATTGTTGTGATTTGCATTTCTGTGATTACTGGTAAAGCTGAATGTTTTCCCATATATTTGTAAGCCGCTTTTATTGCCTTATCTGTGAACCGTCTGTTCACACTATCTACCTACTTTCCTATATTAATGTTTCACTGTTCTTCTTATCAAAGTAGAAACTCTTTAAAGACTGAGGCTATTTAACTCCTTCTCCATCACATTTGTGATAAAAAGGTACTTTTAGTTGGCTTTTAATTTGTTATGGTTTTTTGGTTTTGGTTTGTTTTGGTTTTTTAGAGAGAGAGCAAAAGCGAGCAGAGGGGGAAGGGGCGGTGGGAGAAGAAGAGAGAGAATCTTAATCCAGCTCCATGTCCAGTGCACAGCCCGACATGAAGCTTGATCTCACAATGTGACCTGAGCCGAAATCAAGAGTCGCACGCTTAACAGACTCATCCACCCAGGCACCTCTGTTGTGTGTGTGTGTGTTTGTGTGTGTGTGTGTTTGTGTTTAACTTGCATTTACCATACATCCTAGCCTGATTCATTTCCTTCCCATTCTTCACCGATGCTCCTCTGCCTAGTAACTCGGGGTGGTGTATTCTAGAGGAGCCACTCTGTGAGGGATAGCCCAGACTCTGGAAGGAGATGATAAGGCCAGGAAATAGGGGTTGGCAGAACAGGGCTCTATTGGGGAGCAGGGAGGACATATAGCTAAACGTGTGAGGAGGAAACAAACAGGCAAGATGAAGCAAAGGGAAAATGAGGGTGGGAACATCAACAGAGTCAGGAATGAAGCCTATTCAGAAATGCATGCCAAGAAGTTCTACCCTCTGGTTAGGGGTTGGCTCTCAACCTTTTAGCACCCAAGAGTGAAAAGGTGTGAAAGGGCTTTGGTAAGTCCGAGAAAGACCGTGGGAGAGAGTTGAGAGGTAGGTATGGAAGGAACCAGAGAATAGAGAGAAAGAGAGGCAGAGCGCCCACACTAGATGTTTACTAAAGCCCAACCACCTTCAGACGAGTGTGCTGTGCTATTGGGACTCAGCGCACGGCAAACAAAAACTTCACCAGCTCTAGATGGTGACGTATTGGGTTGGCTGCAGAGAAATGCTAAGACTGATAACATCTGACATTTACACAGAGTATGGAAAACATATTGCGCAGTGCAACATACACCTCTGCAAATGGCGTGAAGCTCTCTAGGCGCCAAGGTGCCAAGACTACTAGGGTGGGAAGCATGAAGATCACCGTGGCCTACGTGTGTGAGTGCAAGATGGACTGAGAGCTGTCGGATCAAACACAGATTGCACCACAGGACGAAGCTGCTTCTCTCCATGCAGAAAAGCATTGCTTGGATCTTCAGGTTCAAGTAATGGCATGCTAAGTAATTTAGACCACTCTCCTATCAAAGATAACGTAATGGAGGACAGTAAAATCATCTATGTAACAAATCCAGTGGAATCTACAAGTGGTTGCAGGATACAAGATCAATATACAAAAGTCCATTTTGTCTCTATAGACCAGCCACAGTCAGGAATTGCAATGATCAGACAAGATAGACTTTAAGTGAAAAAGTGCCACAGGAGACAAAGAAGGATATTATATAATGATAAAAGGGTCAATCTACCGGTAAGATAGAACAATTATAAGTACATATGCACCCAAATCAGATCATCTAAATACATAAAACAAACACTGACCAGAGTGAAGGCAGAACTAGAAAACAATAATAGTAGGATGCTTTAGCACTCCACTTTCAATAATGGAGAAATCAACCAGATTCTTCTTTTCAACAAAGATACAGTGGACTTAAGGAACAACATAGACCAAATGGACCAAACAGAAATATACAGAAATTTCAACCCAACCGTAACAGAATATACATTTTTTTCAAGCTCACATGGAACATTCTCCAGAAGAGGTCACATGTTACGTCACAAAACAAGTCTTAACAAATTTAAGAAGACTGAAATCATACAAAGTATCTTTTCTGACCACAATGGAAATTGTAATTAAAGACCTGCACCATTTATAACAGCATCAAAAAATGAAATAGAGATAAATCTGAAAAAATGATGCAAAAGACCCATACACTAAAAGCTATAAAATATTGCTGAGATAAACTAAAGACCTAAACAAATAGAGAAATATATCTGGTTCATAGATTGGAAAGTTCAATATTGTTAAGAAGCCAATTGTCCTCAAATTGATCTACCAATTCAAAAGTATCCTAGTAAAAATCCTAGATGGTAATTTTAAAGAAATTAATAAGCTGACTCTAAAGGACTGAGAATAACCAAAACATATCTGAAACAGAACAAAGTTGAATGGCTAACGTTATCTGGTTTCAAAAATTATTACAAAGCCATAGCAATCAAAACAATTTGGTATTTACATAGAGACAGATCGATCACTGAAACAGAATAAGATTCAGAGATACACCCACACATAGATGGACAACTGATTTTTGACAAAGCCTCAAAGGCAATGCAGTGGAGAAAAACAGCCTTTTCAACAAGTCGCAATGAGATACCTCTTCGCACCTATTCAGATGGCTACAATCAAAAAAAACAAAGACAAAAAAAACAACAGAAAATAATAAGTGTTGGTGAGGACGTGGAGAAAATGGAAACTTTGTGCATTGTTGGTGGCAACATAACATGGTGCAGTCGCCGTGTAAAACAGTATGACATTTCCTCAAAAAATTAAAAATAAAACTACCATATGATTCAGTAATTCCACTTGTGGGTCTATACCCAAAAGAGTTGAAAGCAGGATCTCAAGGAGTTATTTGCACACCCGTGTTCACAGCAACATTACTCACAAGAGCCAAGAGGTGGAAGTAACCCACGTGTCCATGGACAGATGAATGGATAAACCAAATGTGGCATATACATAGAATATTATCCGGCCTTAAAAAGGAAGGAAATCCTGACACATGCAACAACATGGGTGACTCTTGAGGACATTACAGTAAGTGAAATAGGCCAGTCACAAAGAGAAAATATTATAGAATTCCATTTATATGAGGTACCCAGAGTAGTCAACAGTGGGTTGGGGAAGAGGATGAGATTCCATGGCAGACCTCTGAGTTTGAGATGCCTGCAAGGCTCATGTGGAAGTTTGATTAGCAGTTGAAAATAGAGATCCAGGGCACCTGGGTGGCTCAGTCATTAAGAGTCTGCCTTCGGCTCAGGTCATGATCCCAGGGTCCTGGGATCGAGCCCCGCATCGGGCTCCCTGCTCGGCGGGAAGCCTGCTTCTCCCCTCCCACTCCCCCTGCTTGTGTTCCCCCTCTTGCTGTGTCTCTCTCTCTCCGTCAAATAAATAAATAAAATCTTAAAAAAAAAAAAAGAAAATAGAGATCCAAAGCTAGGAAGAATCTTTTAGGCTAGAGTTGCACCAAAGTATAGGTTTTTAAAATAATAGGCAGTTTTCTCTGAAAAACTGGGGTGGCGGGGTGGGGTGGGGAGAGGTAATTGTTTTGAGAAGAGAACTGAGCCGAGGGATCCCTGGTAGGTTGAAGTCAAGAAGAGACAAGGTTGGCACTTGTCCCAGTTCATAAATGAGGAAGAGCAGGTTCTGACAGAGTAGGCAACTTGCCCCAAATCACTCAAGTCAGTAAGGGGCACAGCCGGGATTTGGACCTATGATCCACCCTTAGCCGCTATCCTCCTCCCGCTAAACAACAAAACAAAGAAACCACCTAAGCAGGAGAGGCCGCCTTGCCAAGTAGCTGCCTTCTGGTGCAAGTCCCCCTCGCCAGCTGAGACCCAGTTTCCTCACCTGCAAACTGGGGGAAATGGGACTTCTCTTTCCTGGGGCACCGGGCTGTGGCGAGGACCAGGGGATTCCCGGATACAGACAATGGTCAGCCGTAAAATACTGTTTGCTGGGGCTCCAGTCTCTGTGCACCAGTCTCTGAACAAGGGAAGACCCTCCACGCAGTCGGCCTGCGATAATCTTCAAGGCAGAGGTCATAATCTTCCCACGAACCTGGACCAACAGCCAAGTTAATCAGTTCAACCTCAGACCCACTTCCTCATGTTTACCTTTCTCTGGGAACCATCAGACCCAGCCCGCTTCCCAGTCCGCCCAGTTCCCTGTTCTCTGCCAAGCCGGGGCCATTCCCTGCCTCAAAGCCAGCCCCCCTCTCTGCAGGCTGGCCCTGACCGAAAGCCCAGGGCGGGATATTGAACCCATATCCTGTTCCAACCCTTTGGGACTAGAAACTGCCTTGTTTTTGGCAGTCCCCACCTCAGTGCCAGGACTGGAATCTGGGGAGTCAGGAGGCGGCAAGCTGCTGGTGCGGCCCAGCTAGGACTTCTGAGAATCACCCGAGCCCGAGAACTGTGAGTCACTGGCCCCTGCCCGCTGCCCGCCTTGCGGCCCCAGGCTCACGGCCTGCTTGGACCACACCCTCGCCTCAAAATCACAAACCTAGGGCTGCTATGTGCTGCTTACCGGGCTACCCATCCTTCCAGCACCCCCTGCTTACCAGGGGCCCCCACCCTTTACCCAGCACCCCCATCCACAGTGCCTGCGCCCTCCATAGCCTTTTTTCCCTGCACCCTCCACCCCCAAATGTACACGTCTCCCAAGATTTCACCCGAGATAAATTTTCTTCTCTGCATTGACTGTCCTTTGACAATCTTATCTACTCCTAGGGTTTCAACTAGCACCTCCAAAGTGGCAGAGGCCTAAGGATATAAAGGTCATTTTCAAATTAGATTGACCAGGGCCCAAGGCTGGTCAAGGAAGGAGGAAGAAGAAAAAGGGTGAGAGTCAAGAGGGAAGCTGAGTCCCCAGAAGGATGGCCCCTCACCACAGCCGTGGAGGGAGAAACCCAGGCCCCCGTGGGCTCTGAATCCTCCAGGCCTGGCATAGAGCCAGGCACAGATGGGTGCAGAGTCTCTGCTGGATGGATGAATGAATGAACAAGTTGGTTCTTCCCTCTCCGGATCCGAGTGTGTTTTCCGGAGCCACCCTCCTTCCTGATACACGAAGCCGGGAGAGGAAGTGACTAGGCAGCCAAGTCCAGAGAGGAAACATGAGTCCCTGTGAGATCTGTCCAGGAACAGGAGACTAAGAGAGGACAGAACAGGCACCCAGATTCCGAAGCAGCACCCCAGCTCCTGCTGTCTCCCTAACAAAAGCTTGGGTACCACAGGCTTAGCCAAGCCCTTGACTATTTTCATCTTGTTTAATCCTCCCAAAGACCTATTATTTTCTCCACTTTACAGATGAGAATATAGAGGCAGGAGGTCAGGAAACCTGACAAGGATCCCACAGTTTATCAAAGTAACCAAGCTGGATCTTTTTCTTTTTTCCTTTTTCCTGCAGTGGTGCTGTTTCATCTTTAAAATGCCAGCAATTTGCCCACATGCTCAGCTCTGCTACAATGTGTTATTTTCAGATCTAGCAATGAACTACAGAATGGTAGAAGTGGAAGAGCCTTTGAGATGAATTAGTCCGGGCCAGAGTTGGGGAGACAGGGGGAGGGAGGCTGAGCATACAGGCTGCAAATCCTCCCCTCCCTCTTCTTCCTTCTGCTCCTAAAATAAAACTGAACAAAAGACTGGAAAGTTACTGGATCAGAGAATTCAGCATCTCCCTCCTAACTCCCTGGGATTTTATTATTCAAGATAGCAAGCAGGATCTACATCCTGGAGCAAGAAGAAGCTAAGATCTCCCTGCCGGTGGGTGTGATTTTGAAAGTGCGAAAAGGCAGGAGCTTCTGGGCCCCTCCCTCCAGCAGAGATCTGTCCTCCTCGAGCCCTGTCTGGGATGCTGGGAGGCTGCAAAGGGCAAATGCAGGGCCTGAGGCCTTCCCACAGTCGGCTCCCCAGGAAGACAACCCTGTCCTTCAGCAAGCCCTCACCTCCCATCTGCGTCCCTAATTGGCATCTTCTGGTGACTTCATTTTTCACTCTTGGCTAAAATGGGCCTCTGATGATTTATTCTATCCCGGGTGTTGACAAGCTCAAGAAGTTGTGTGGGGCCCACTGCCAGGCACTCATGGTGACAAAGCATGACTCACCGCTCCCAGGTCAGTTGGGGGGGTGTGGTGGTGTAGGAGGCAGGAGAAGCAGCTGACAAGGCTCACCACTGCATCACTGGGCCTTCTGCCCTCTTGTGAGGCAGCTCCACTCTCGGATGGGGAAATAGACACCCCAGAACCCTCTGACGGAGACAGGACAGGCAGCCCACAGGTCTGTCACATCTCAAGGCTGCTTCTCTGTTTTGTCTCCCACCCCCAGTGCCAAATGCTAAACTGTCTTTCAGAGAGAGCTCTAAAAGGGAAATATAAGCCAGCCCTCCTTGAATCCCCTCAATCATAGAACGTTAGCAGTGGGGAGGGGGGAGACAAAGAAAGCCTTAGAGATCATTAAACTCAATCTTCTTATTTTGTGAGAAAGAATTTGAGGTCCAGAGAGGCCAAGTCATTTGACCAAGGCCCCAAAGTGAGTTAGAAGTGGAGCTGGGACTAGAACTTAGGTGTTTGTTCCAGACTTGTGCTCTCTTGCCAACCAAGATATGACGAGAATTTCACTAGCACTCCTGAGGGAGAGGAGGCCAACTCTCCCCCAGAAAAAGGGGCAAGAAGCACTAATGCCTAAGGCGAGATGAGTGGGCTGGACTTTGGCTTTGCCCTTTGTTCTTCTCAGATGGAGCTCTGTGCTTTCCTGGCTTATGGGGAACCCCAGAGTCCAGGGGGCTCCAGGCTGAGCATTCCCTCTCCCAGGAACGATACTTCACTCACAGGAACGTGCCAATGGCAGATGACCCGCAGACTCTTTCTTGGCTTAGCCAACAGCAAGTTGCCCTTAGAAGAGCCCGTTGCATCTGGCTGCTAAGTGACCTTATTTCTCTTTTTCTCTTTCCTGACCTTCTGGGTAAACAGCGTGTTAGCTCAGGGGAGACTTAAATTCATGAACCCAGTAAATGAAAAGGGGCCACAAAGTTCCTCTGGTCTGTACGTGCTCCACGGGACCCCCTCCACGATACCCCAGATGGACACTACCTTCAGCTTGAACACTTCCCAGGATGAGCCACTGTTTCTCCCTCACTCCCGGCCCCTCTGCTGCTGGACAGACCGAAGAGATAGAGACGGCTATCTAGTCCTGACTGGAGTCAGCCACCCTGTGATGCCCCCTGCGCTGAAACAGAGCGAGTGACTACCCTTCTCTGGACTATGGCCTGTGTCTTCGCTCATGACTTATAGGGACAAGCCCAGACAGACATAACCGTTCTTGATCTTACAAAGATTGAGCATCTGTTTGGGGGTCTAGTCCAATAGGGCTCTTGCTCAATTTTCTTTTCCCATCTGATTTCCATGAATAAAGAAAGAAAGAAAGAAAGAAAGAAAGAAAGAAAAGAAAGAAAGAAAGAAAGAAAGAAAGAAAGAAAGAAAGAAAGAAAGAAAGAAAGAAAAAAGAAAGCTTGCCCACCACCCCTAGAGAAAGAATAAGAAAAAAGGATAAGTGCCAGACCTGTTCATTTGCTTCTTGCTAGAGATTCTGGTGAAAGTTCTGACTGAGGAGGCAGTTGGACCCACCCAAGGCGAGGTGCAGGGCATCTGTGCTCGACAATTAACCTCTTTTTTCCCCTTCCCCTTGTGGTTGAAGACGACCAGCATATTCATGAAAAGTAGTATTGTTGTTCTAAATTCCTTATTTGACATTTCATTCATTTTGGAAGCCACGTGCGAGTTTCATCCAGTCAAAAAAAAAAAAAAATCAATTACTATATGCCAGGCAGGGTTCCAGGCGATGTACTGTGAGTGAAACAAAGCTCCTGACCCTGTGAAGCTTCCTATTCCAGAAGACAAGGCAGAAAGAAAGTAATAGTTAGACATTATAACATAATAAGCATTATAACAGGAGCTGCCGGGCACTACAAAGGAAGACAAAGCAACATGAGGGGTGAGAGGTGATGCAGCTGTCATTTGGGGTGAGGAGGGTGAGGGCAGGCCTGGGAGGGGATGTTAGAGCAGATGCTAGAGTAGAGTAAGGGACCCCTCCAGGCGGATATCTGGGGCAAGTGTTCTAAGATGAAAGAACTGTACGAACCACAAGAAACCCCTGATCAATGTGCACGTGGGATCTACTAGAATGCATTTCAACTAACGTTTCATAGATGAAAATAATGGCCAAGGCACATTTTGCCAAAAGCTGAAAAATTCAACATGACATTACCTGCACTTAGAGGCCATTAGCATTCATAACCCGATTTCCGGGGTGGGGGGACCATCCGTATATGAATGAGGTGATCAAACACTCTTCTCTCCTTGGAAAGCTCCCTCATATACCATCTTTTTAAATAATCACCACAAGCCCACAAGGTAGATCTTACAGTTCACAACAGTGTGAAAACTAATGGGAAAACTGAGGCTGTGAGTAGTGACTCTGGTCCTGACCTAGGCCACCGGTATGCAGAAGTGCCCCATTTCTAAAGGAAGTTGTCCTGTTTCACTGGAACATGTAATACAGAGAAAAGTCCAAGAACATCAGGGCTTGTAAATTTAACTTCAAATCAGCACCATAACTGATATCGGAGACCAGTATCTCTGTGGTAGTGTGACATGCACCTCTCAGCTCTCCTTCCAGAGGACCTGCCAGGGGGAGCAGATTCCTGACTGCCCCAGTGAGTGCCCTGTGGACGTGGGGGGGTCAGGGCCACCCCTCCTCCGGGCTGCTCCCAGGCAACCTTTGAGCTCTGGGACTGCTGCCCGCCTGCCTGAGACCCTGTCAGAAACGTACCGCAGACTGAGAATCTACCTAATTCTTCCTTTCCTCTTCCCTCTCACGCTGCCAGACCGGCATTAACGGGCTGAAGGCCCTCCCTGCCATCTCCCGAGAACCCCCTTTCCTCCCTCACAGACATTTCTCCCAGCAAACCTACTGTGTGTCCAATCTCATCACTTGGCATCTGTGTCCCAGAGGATCCACACTGACATTTCTAATCTCAATAGCTCTGTTTTACTTCTTCACAGAAGGACGACATTATGAGTTCATTTCTATCTTTGTCTTTCCTGGACGTGAAAAAACAGAAAAGAAAAGAAAAAAAGTATTTTGTCGGTTACCAGTGTCAGACTTTGGGCCTCATTAGTGGTCCATTTTAACAAAAATGTAAAGGGAAATTCTGGAATGTTACTAGTGTTACCTGGGGTGAGGTTTTGGCCTGAGTTCTGCCAACAGCCTTTTATCTTAGCAGCTTCTGATCTGCTTTCACAGGTCCTGTCGAAGATGAGCGCCTCATGCTTTGTGTCCAGGCTATGAACTCCAGCTTAGAGCTAATCAGAGCTGACAATGCCTATTGCAGAGTATCGAGGTGGTTACAGGAGGTCGCTTGGGGTGCCCTGAACCAGCACTGTCCAAGAGAAATAGAATGTGAGCCACCTACATAATTTCAAATCTTCTAGGAGCCACATTTGAAAAGGAAAAAGAAACAAGTAAAATGAATTTTAATAATATGTTTTGTTTAACCCAAAGGCATCTAAATTATTATCATAACACGTTATCCTATTTAAACGTTATTGATGAGATAATTTACATTTTTGTCACATTATTTTTTTTTTAAGTCAGCTCCACACCTAGGAGCCCAACACAGGGCTTGAACTCACGACCCCGAGATCAAGACCTGAGCTGAGATCAAGAGTCGGAGGCTTAACTGACAGAGTCACCCAGGTGCCCCTCACACTAAGTCTTTAGATGAGGCATGTCGCAAGTGCTCCCTAAACATATATGGCTGGCGGCTCCCGTGCTGGACAGTGCAGATCTAGGCACCTCCGAGTCTGAGGATTAATATTTGAATATGGAGCAGCTGATCAGCTGTTTCTCTTAATGTTCCTCTAAACCAGTTATGGGTCCCCACCCCACTGAGGAATTTCAAAATCATCACCCAAGGGGATTTTTATTCAGAACTTTTGTTTGTTTGCTAAGAAATAGAAAGTATTCGTTTTGAAATAAAATATAAAATAAGAGGGATTGCGTTCTTGGTATTTATAAGATACCAGCTTCCACAATCATTTTGGATGAATCTTTGTAGCTGGAGCATCCAGGGTACAAACATAAGAAAGAGGCTATTTCCTTCTCCCAAACATGTTTGAGTCTAGCAGCCTTCACAGTTCCCATTACAGGACTGATTTCTTTGGCCCCATCCCCGGAGTAGTCCTCTCCCGCCAGCCCCCCAGCAACGTGCGCCCCCAGTGGAGAACATCAATCATGTCCTTTACTACTACAAGAAAACACGATACCCCAATTTTTAAAAACCGGAATCATACATTTAAAAGCTATGCCACACGAGGCAAGTATTTACCTAGGCACTCACTCATTTTTCAACTTTATATTTTTCTCTCCATTTTACAGTTTCAGAAAGCTGAGTAACTTGCCCAATGCCACATCGCGAATCATTCTACAACCCTTTAAAAGTTGGCATTGGGAGTTGACGGCATTGTAAATTGGTTCAATCTTTTCTGAGATTAACTTGACAATGTTTAGCAAGTTATAAAATGGTCCGTGCCCTTTTATACAATGATATTGGGATGAGTTCTAAGGTAATAAATAAAATATGTATGGACACACTCACACATTAGCTTGTGCAAAGATATTTACGACATAAAACCTATGATAGCTGAAAAAATTTTAAATACCCCAAATTTTTCATTTATTTAGCAAACATTTATTGAATACCTTCCATGTGTCAGGCACAGGTCTAATACCAAGGATTCAGCAGTGGAGAAAAAAAACAAAAGGACGACAATGAATCCCTGTTTTCATGGAGAAGTTTCATAAACAAAGATCCTAGGGGTAAAAATAAGAATGGATAATAAGGGCCACATACATAATTTTTAAGTTGTCTAGTAGCCACATTAAAAAGGGAAAAAGAAACAAGAGAAATTATTCTTAATAATATATTTTATTTAACTCAATATATCCAAAATATTATTCTAACATGTAATCAACACAAGAAACTAATTAAGATATTTTGTATTTTTTTCATACTGTCTTCAAAATCCAGTGTGCATTTTACTCCTATAGCACATCTCAATTTCAACAGCAAAGTTTCTTCAGAAATATTAGATCTGTATTTAGGTGTCATAAAATTCACCATTAAAAAATTAGATTCAGGGGCACCTGGGTGACTCAGTTGGTTAAGCAGCTGCCTTCGGCTTGGGTCATGATCCCTGGGTCCTGGGATCGAGCCCCACGTCCGGCTCCCTGCTCAGTGGAGAGCCTGCTTCTCCCTCTCTCTCTGCCTGCTGCTCTGCCTGCTTGTGCTTTCTCTCTCTGTGTCAAATAAATAAATAAAATCTTCAAAAAAAAATTAGATTCATCCAACCAAACATACTTAAAGATATCCCAATAATTCAGGTGAATATCCAAAATAATTCTTTTAATATTTGCATACACATTGACCAAACAGTTCATTTTTTAGAATTGATTTCTAAATCCCAGGACCCAGGGATCAGTTTCAAAACAATTTCTGTCCAAGTAAAGTAAACTCACTCACTCTTGGGTTAGCTCAGTCTTACTAACACAAATTCAAAAGGATATTACATAAAATGAAAAGCAACTCTAAATTTATCAAAACCAACGAAGGGTCCTTCAAGTTTTTCTTATAATATTTTCAGCCAATTTGTATAACACTGTTGATTACAACTGAAATTTTCTGCAATTGATTCATATTAGGAAAAAACGTATAAAATTGTTATCATTGATTTGGATTATGAAAAGTTTCGATTTCAACACAAGTTCTTGTGCTTATCTTGTTAGGTCATGAGCTTTTACTTTACTTGGAACTTCAAATTTACCTTGTCCACATGCAGTGTAGTATCAGTGAGAAAACATAAATCACACTGCCATTTTGTCTTTAATTATTGGCCACTTGGCAACTATTCCTTTTGTTTCAAGAAAAAAATTGGACTTGCTAGCATAGTAAATCTTTGTAAAATGTTTCCACAATTCAAATAATGAGTATTGGCAAACAGCATTAAATACATTAAATCCATTGTCTTCTATTTTTTTCAAAAGTTCCGTAAACTTGGGATGATTCATAGTATTTCCACATGTATACTGAACCATCTTAACAATTTCGTCCACGACACCTTTCTGAGTGTCTCCTCTAGAAAACTGCATTCAAATATTGTCAGTATGTGACACATAGAGGGATGAAGCAATAAGAAAAACATCCATGTCTTATTTCAAAATTCCAACAAACCTGGATATTTAAAGTGATTATAGCTGGATCACGGTACATCATGATAGAAAGGAATTTCTTCACATCTACCTGAAGTTCTTGGATAAATATAAAATATTCAAAAATATTCATACCTTGAACTCAGATTTTTAGACCACACATTGATATTTCTTTGTAAATGTGCGAGTCCTTTGAGAAAAAAAAAAAAAATCTAAATGTTACTGTTCTAGTCATAGTACTAGCTTCTGCATCTCCATGTGGTTCTTTGTCTTAAATTAAAATGTTTGTCCATACTTATTTTTTAACTAGAAAAATAATTATACTACAATTAAAATAAATGCAGGGGCACCTGGGTGGCTCAGTTAAGCGTCTAACTCTTGATTTCAGCTCAGGTCATGATCTCAGGGTTGTGGGATCAAGCCCCAAGTTGCGGGTGGGTCCCTGCTCAGCAGGAAGTCTGCTTGAAATTCTCTCTCTCTCCCTCCCCCCTCCCCTCCCCGGCTCTCTCTCTCTCACAAATAAATAAATCTTTAAAAAATAATAAAAGCAATAACATTAAAATTTTAATAAATGTTATTACTAATTATAATTTACATAGGTATCACTATAACTCATGTTGCCCACAGGAAATACTCAAATAAACACAATACAAGTTGGGGGCGCCTGGGTGGCTCAGTCGTTAGGCGTCTGCCTTCGGCTCAGGTCATGATCCCAGGATCCTGGGATCGAGCCCCACATCGGGCTCCTTGCTCGGTGGGAAGCCTGCTTCTCTGTCTCCCACTCCCCCTGCTTGTGTTCCCTCTTTCGTTGTGTCTCTCTCTGTCAAATAAATAAATTAAAAAAAAAATTAAAAAACACAATACAAGTTATACCAGATACAAAGAAAAGCATCACTCAAACTGATTCAATCACCTGACACCAACTAGATGGGTGAGGTACGTATGGGTAGACTACAGTAAGTTCTTACACAATGGAATGAAATGTCCTGCTATAACAGCAAATGTGATGTGTAACAGAAATATATTTTATTCTGCTGAAACTTCTAAATTAAATTAGATGAATTTAAATTCGAATAATAATTCCATTCCTCAGTCACTCCATGCACACTTCAAGGGCCGGGTAGCAACCAGTGACTGGTATTGGACAGCGAAGCCCTAGCGGAAGATGGGGAGAGGGTCCAGATCACTGGACTTCAGAGCCACCTCGTGTTGCCTTGAGGGTCCCGGAGTCCGGAAGGGGTGGAAAGAAAGCACTGAGGGGTGGGACATCTGCTTTCCTTATTGAATCGTCACATTAAGGTTTGGTGGGAAAAAGGTGTCCCAGTGTTTTTGTTTAAGGCTTTGAAACCATTGGTCCTCTTCTTCCTTGCTTCTCAAAGTGGTGAATCTGGCAGTGGCTTCCCCTGGGAACTGGTAGGAAATACATGTTCTCAGGCCCCGCTCCGGGTGATTCATGGCAGTGTAAGAAACAGTGGGCTTGTCGGCCCCGTGATCTCCTTTCCCTATGAATCACACACACACACACACACACACACACACAGTGTTTCAATGAGGAGTTAACCCATCACGAAACCAGAGCCAAACTGTAGCATTTTAGAAACAATTACACGGCAGGGAATCTAGCCCTAGCATCTCCTTTCCGCAGCGGCGACCTGTGTGGAGCTCCCGGATCCTGAGTGACTGCCCCAGCACGTCCCTCCCGCGCTGCCATTGCCATCCCTGCTGGAGCCCCCAGGAGCAGTGTTACTGTAGAAGACTGCACGGACAGGGTGGAGGAGGTATGCTGAGTAGCGAACAGAATGAACCCTGGAGCCAGAGTGGATTTAAATCCCAAGTCTACCACTTCCAGCCTTGCCAACTGGGGAAAGTTTCCTTGGGTGGTGACAATGTGTTGGTGTAGTTCGTCAGTTGTAAAAAACGCACCACTCTGGTGGGGGATGTTGATAGTGGGGGAAGCTGTGCATGTCGGGGGGATAGGGAGTATGTGAGAAATCTCTGTACTTTCTTCTTAATTTTGCTTTGAACCTAAATCTGCTCTGAAAAAGTTTGTCTTTTTTTTTAAAAAAGCCATTCAAGTGGTCATTTTGTGGTGGACACTATGATATGGCCCCAGATGAGAACAGAAGCCGGAAGTGATGTCCACTCCCAATTTCTTGGTTGAAGTTCTAAAGATGATGGCAGGAAGGACCCTTGTGCTGGACTGTCACCATTTGGAGGATGAGGCTGGACAAGAGGAGGAGGACAAGAGTGACATTTTCTCCATCAGGGAAATGAGCTTTGAGTCCCCCAGAGAGTCAGAGTGGAAGAACATGAATTACACACTCAACACAGATTTCCTGCACTGGGCTTTGTGCGACCACTTAATGGACACTTTTTCAGATGAGCTCAGTATGGCCCTGGATCACCAAGAGTACATAGCTTTTCTCAAAGACCGCAAAGGTCTTGTCAAGAGCCAATAGAGGGGTGCCTGGGTGGCTCAGTCGTTAAGCATCTGCCTTCAGCTCAGGTCATGATCCTAGGGTCCTGGGGTCGAGCCCCGCATTGGGCTCCCTGCTCCGCAGGAAGCCTGTTTCTCCCTCTCCCATTCCCCCTGCTTGTGTTCCCTCTCTTGCTCTCTCTCTCTCTCTCTGTCAAAAAATAAATAAATAAATCTTTAAAAAAAAGAAAGAAAGAAAGAAAGAAAGCCAATAGAGCAGACAAGATACTGAATACCTTGATTTTATGGCAGGCTTTGGCCAGTGAACCAAACCTACTCTGAACCCAGACACATGGACTTTGAAATGGTTTTCATCCTCATATCAGAGAAAATAATTCAAATTGATTTCTGTTGCCTTCTTATTTACTATTCCTTTGTTTCTTCTCTACAAATCCATTATTTTTGGATTTTTGTATAACATCGTGATGGACAATAACATTGGTTTATCTCCCCCGCCATCATCCTTCTTCCCCTTCCAAAAAGAGTAAGGAATGAAGGACTTCTTCCCTCAGCTGCCGGGAGCAGCTTAGAGGACAGTCCTCAGTGGTCAGCAGCCCAGGAATTGCCTCAGCTGAATGAAGAGTCACTTCCCCAAGGTCATGTTGCATTCCTGATGGATACAGGGATAGAGATACCCAGCTCTCTTGTCTCAACTCGGGACAGTTCTGAAGGATCCTCAACCTTGAGAACTGCCCACAGGGCCACTATTGCAGCTTCTCTTGACATTCCATCACAGCTGGGCTTCCCCTCTGCCGAATCCGCTCCCTTCCCAAGGACATCCCTGGTAAACTTCTCATGTTCCCAGCTCTTTGAGTTTGCCTCCCGGGGAACCCAGAGATGAGCTGTCCATTTCGAAAGAAAGGGAGTCACACACAGTATTCATTCAAAGTTCCTAACTTAGAGAATTCATGACATAAGGTTCTTTTGATTTTGGCTAATGTCCCTATTTGACACCTCCCACAGATGAAGAACCCACCCATCAATACCTCTATATTTATAGAGAGGTACGTATGTTTATGAGAAGATAATTATACCTTCCCAGGGATGGTGTTGCTCATCATTACTATAAAAGAAAGTTGAAAGAAGAAGACAATTCACCAGAACTCTTTTTAGTTTTTGTCAGTCATTAAGTGAAAAACTGGGTATCACTTTGTTCTTTTAATTGGCAGTGCCCCAACCTGTGAGGTTGAGAATGTTTGCAGGTGTTCATTAGCCAGGTAAATTTCTCTCCTGTGAATTGTCTATTCATATACTTTTGCCCATTTTTCTTTTGGCTTCGCCTGTCTTTTTCATAATAACTGGTAATAGACTGTTGGACATATGTTGCTTTCTTGGCTTTCTTTAATGGTGACTTTATCACTTTTTAAGATAACACTTTATGTGTTGGTTTTGCAAGGGTTATTTTCATTTTGGTTTTAAAAATCCATATATGCAGAAGCATATAAGGCAGAAAATAATTGTCTTAGTCCATTCATGCAGCTGTAACAAAAATACCATAGGATGGGTGGCTTATAAACCACAGAAATGTGTTTCTCACGGTTCTAGAGGCTGGGAAATCCAAGATCAAGGCACCCACAGATTCAGTGTCTGATGAGGGCCTGCTTTTCCTGGTTCCTAGATAACTATCTTTTTGCTGTGTTGTCACATGGCCAAAGAGGCAAGGGATATTTCTGGGTTCCCTTTCATAAGGGCACTAGTCCCATTCATAAGAGCTTCACCCTCATGACCTAAGTACCTCCCAAATGCCCCATATCCAAATACCATCACACTGGGGATTAGGATCCAATATGTGAAACTGGCAGGCGGGGTGGGGAGGGCACAGACATTCAGTTTATAGCAGTGGTAATCACTTAAAATTTCTCCACTTAGAGAAATTACTTCAAAATTTTTCATTTTTTCTTGTAATTTTTCCATGCCCAGTTTTCCAAATTGAGATAATGTGTTAAACTTCCTATGTAGCTTTGAATTCTTGTTTTTTTATATAGTATTTAAGCATTTCCCCAGATCATCAAAAGCCTTTATAAGCATCATTTAAATGGGTGCCTAATAGTTTATCAAATAGATGAACCATTATTTGGTGTAATCCCTTCAGAAATGTTAGACGTGTGGATCATTTCCAATTTCTCACTACAAATAATACTGTGATGAGCCTAGGCAGAAATATCTGTTTGTGTTTCACATTGTCTCTTTAAATACATTCTCTAGATTGCAAGTGAGTTAAAAGTAAAAGCATGTAAGGGCTCTTATTATGTATCTCAGTTCGTTTTTTGTGGAGCCATTTGCAAACCAATGTTTTACTCTGAAGAGAAATACTGCAATGAAAATACCACATCCAACCTTAGCCCAAGCACTGGAGGGAGGCCCCAGCCTTCAATCGCATTCAATCAAGCAAACATGTGTTACACCTGCTGCTTACAGGAGACTATTTTAGGCCCTAGAGGGATGCCAATACGTTGAGCAGGATCCTGCCTGCCATCAAAGAGCAAAGGGTCCAGGAGAAAAATGAGCGGTAACTGATTAACCATAACACAAGAAAGGGTGAAACAAATCTTCAACGACATGGTAAGTCAGCGTGTGTGGGGTACGCAGTGAAACAATGCAGCCGGAAAGATAAGCTGTTATATGATGGTCTCATAAATACCCCAGAGGGCACTGGGACCTTCGCAGATTCAATACTGGAAGTACACGAATGTCCAGTCTAGGATTTGGAATGTGGATTCAGGATTTTACATGACAGAGTTAATGATTTTTACAGCTTTGCTTTTATGATCTGCTAGTGGTCAACTCTATGGCTTTCTTGATACCAGGGGTCCCCAGCGTGCAGCCTCCACCTTCTTCCTATAGAGTTGCATCCTCCAGAATCCCACTCTGCACCATGGACTTAAAGACAGCAATGTGTCCTCAAGGCCAAAACCACTTGTATTCCTTGAAGTTTCAGTCTTTGTGCTGCTCAGCCCCAGGGGGCTCTGGTGGGTGGAGAGAGAGCTGCTGGCTTCCAGCAGAGCATGCTTCCTCCCCTGCTCTGAAGCCAACAGGACCCCACACACCACCCCTGAATCACTTAAGAGCAGTATGATGGATGGCCATGGAGTCAAAGTTCTGAACCTGACCTTTGCTTTCCCCACTTAGCAGCCCTCCAACCTGGGCAACCTAATTAAACCCCTCACCTTTCTTTCCTCAACCATAAAACAGAGCTGAGAGTGGTCCTGAAAAGACAGAAAGATAATGGATATGAAAGCACTTAAAAAGAAGAAATTGTCTTTGAAATCAGCATTTATTATGTTGTGGAAAATCTAAACAAAAGATTTTCTAGTCCTTCCTCTCTGAACAAACTTTGACTTCCATGGGGGTGGGGCCCCAGGGTGGTAGTGCATTGATGTATTCTTCGTTAATTTTTAAAAAGCATGCCTTAAAGCGATGTGACAGAAGAGCGCTTCCACTGGCTTTGCTGCGTGAGCGAGGCCGACTTCGGCTAGCTAACGCATTCTTGTGTGTGCCTAGATTTTTGAAAGTGAAGAGGGGATTCCTGTAGAAGGCTAGGTGAGGAAGTTTCCTTAGGGTTTACAAGCTGATTCCAGGCGCTGCCCCATAACCATGCAGACCTTGAGCCCTCGGGATTTACCTTCCACTTCATCTTGCACAAAGGGGGCGCTTGGGAAGCGGACTCTAACATGACGAGGGAGATTTAGCCAGGCTCCCGGATAAGTGAAGCTCAAAGGATATTCTAGCAGGGATTTTCAGAGAAGCACCTCCACTTTGTGAGCTTACGAGAAAACCTGCAGAATTGCTGTTTATTCCACTTTTGTTGAATGGAAAACATATATGGCTCCCTAAAGAGCCTACCGACGAGGTGAAGGAAGCCATTACCTGGAGTGATGTAGTTAGACACACGGGGAGGCCAACTCAAAGGGGCTACACCTTTGTTCAGAGATGCTCAGGGGGAGATGGAAGTGACTGGACCACGCTCCCCAATATATCTACCCACCCCCTCACCAGCCAGCCATGTAACAGCCCCTGGAGAGCGGGATTGAGGCATCCCTCCCCACTCACACCCCACTTTCCATCCTCACTGGCACCCCCACAGGGATAGACAGTCCCTGTGCCAGGCTCACAAGGGGAGTTGCTTCCTTTGCTGGCCACCCTTCTGCTTTCCCTGCCTACCTTCAAGGACCCTCCCCTGCCCCCCAGCAACGTGGCATGGCACCTGCCTCTCCAGGGGAAGGCCAGCCCCTCACACCTGATGTCTCCCCATGGCCCCTCCCCAGCCACCTGGCGGGGTCACCCCCAGCTTTGCTCTCCTTCAGGCTTCCATCTCATCACGGTTCCCTAAGGGTCCTCTTTCTACCCTCTGCTCTGAGATCCCCACGCCTGCCCGTGCTTGAAAGAGGGTCCAGAAAATTCCCAGGACGCTCTAAATATAACTCAGCTCCTGCTCTGTGAATTCTCAGCCCCAGTCAGAAACTTGTGGAGCCTTGCCTCAGCTCCCTACCCTGGAGAAGTGGTATTTTTAGAAGCACTGCCGAGTGGGGGCGGGGGGGGGGGTGTCAGGCCAGGTGAAAGGACAGGTCTGCTGAATAGAAACCTTGGGGCGCCTGGGTGGCTCAGTTGGTTGGGCGACTGCCTTCGGCTCAGGTCATGATCCCGGAGTCCCTGGATCGAGTCCCGCATCGGGCTCCCTGCTCAGCTGGGGGTCTGCTTCTCCCTCTGACCCTCCCCCCTCTCATGTGCTCTCTAATAAATAAATAAAATCTTTAAAAAAAAAAGAAATGAATAGAAACCTTGCTCCGATGGAAAATAATAACCCTAAGAGTAAGAGCGGTCATTCCCTGAGACACTTGCGTGCTCGTAGCCGTCACTTCCTTGACTCCTCAGCACCACCCGGCGAGGAAGGGACTGGGCGACGAAGGTGAAGGTGGACTGGCTCTGCTTTTCAGGCGAGGAACGTAAGCTTACGGAGAGCAGGTAAGGAAGTGGTTCCCGCAGAGCCCCGGACGGGGCGGGGGGGGGGGGGGTGGGCTTGTTGGTATCTGAGGTCTGTCCAGCTTCTGGCAATAGAGAGCAAGCACCGGGGAGCCGGGAGGCCAGCAGAGCCGCGCGCCTCCTCCGCCAGCAGCAAGGAGCCCAGACGAGCCGGCCGCGGAGCGTGCTGCGCGAGAGCAAGGCGGGCGAGGCGCCCCGACGGCAGCCTCCTCCCAAAGCTCGGCTGCGGCCGACCGAGCCACGCGAGCGAAGCGAGAGCTGGAAACCTGCACCCTCACGTGAAGCCGGAAAACCGCACTCCACGTCCTCCAGGCCGCGCAGCGCATGCCGCCACCGTGGACGCAAAACAGGCCACACTCAACCACGCCTCCCCCCCTTGCGTTCCCCACCGCTGCTCCCTGGCGCTCCCGGGGAGGCGGGGGGGGGGGGGGGGGGTGCCCTGTGCAGTTTGTTCTTCTTTCTTCCAACAAGTGGGCAGAACCTGGTCTGGAATGCATCTCCTGCCAAGAGCAGACGGGGCTCATGGGCCTGTGGCTGCAAGGGCTCCCAGCAGGTGTGTCCGTGGGGAGCGGCCGCACCGGATCCCAAGGCTGGGCTGGCCTCTTCTGCGGAAGCTGGGGGAGCTAGGGAGGGCCCCCTCCGACTCCCCCCCCCGCCCGCCCCACCCCACCTCAGGCCCGGCAACCCTCCCGCACCTTCCCCCACTCCCCACCCCAGCAGACGGCCTCCTGTGGGCGCGAAGGAAATTTCCTCTCCACCGCACATGAGCCAGAATATGGGGATCCAGTTTTCAGAGTCATTTTGCTGCTTTCTCTGCTCTTTCTAGCTCCGAAGCTGTTACTTCCCTTAGGAGCTCAGTGCTCCTACCAGGAAGAAAAAGGCGGGCACTCTTAAAGATTTACACAGGGTCCTCATCAAAGAAGAAGGTCCCTGAGATGTTAAGGACAGACAAATATTACAGTGCTTTCACAAACATTGGTTCATCTAAGCCTGGAAGAGCCCCGAGGAATAAATGGAAACGCTAATAGTAGTGTGGGTACTAAGTATTAGTGATGTGGGAAACAAAGGCAGAAGAAAAATTATTAAATTTCCTTACTATCTACAGCCCATTGACAAGTCCCTGAAACAGGCAGTGACATTCCTCTAGGGACTCAACTGCGTTGATGTTAATACTTTGCTAAGGGCAAAAGGCAATCTTAACCAGACCCTCCAGGATCCTGTAAGTCTGCTTTAATATATAAAAATTCCTTTGGGAACTTCCTTTATCTCTATCCCCAAGGTACATGTTGTCAATCATCCCCCAAGCATATGGCCCACCGATATACATCTGAAGGGTCTCATGACTAAGTTTTATTAGACGGTAATAAGTGACATTTTCCTGACAATAACTAGCCCCCTCAAGGTCCTGGAAACCTTGCTCCCAAAATTCCATAGAGACTTACGCTATCCCTAACCCCTTCCCAACTTGAAAGTACATAATGGGCCACTCCTCACGACCCCAGAGCTGCTCCTTCTGCCCACGCGTCCTGTCCCCGTGCTTTCATAAAACCACCTTTTTGCAGCAAACATGTCTCAAGAATTCTTTCTTGGCCTTCAGCTTCAAACCCTAAGGTCTTTCCTACATCATTAGTATCTCTATTCGGATTCCTGTAGCTATTGCTCTTCATATTAGCATTTGGATTTAGATTAGAATTTGTATTCACATTCACATGAGCACTTGCTATTCCTATTTATATTCATACTATCATTCACATTCCTAGTGGTGCTCATTCTGGTATCAATATCAGTATTAGTACTTTAGGAGGGAGAATGGTGGGCGCACAAACAGCGAGAAGGCCCAGTGCTGTCACATGTTGCCTCTGTTCTCCATAAGCACTGGAGATGGTCTCTGGCAGTAATGACAGGTATAAAGCTCTGGAGTTCTCTTTAACCCCGGACAGGAATGGGGTGATAGTGGTCCTCTTGGAGCTCTGAGAGAAGAGACAAGTAAGACACAAGTAAGGTCTTAAGCATGACCCCCAAATCCTACACATGAGGACAGTGCTACAACAGGGAGGTGGGAGATTATGCTGGAATGAGGACAGGAGGGCAAATTCTGACATTATGAATGACATCATGGGTTATGATAAGGACTTGTCCTACTACAAGAATGAGGCACCACTGAGAAGCAGAAGGCCCTCTCAAGTCCCAGGAATCAGGCTTGGAACTCCTTCCCTCATCCAACACACCGCGCACAACCCCTACACACACAGCAGCCCCCCCGACACTCACCCCTACACACATACCACACCACACCCACACACCCACACATCACACACACCACGCACACATATTACATGAACCCTCCATACACACTTCACATACTTACCCACACACACACACCACACACACACACACTGCACAGAGCTTCTGACAGTCACTCATGCCCAGGTGTGGCCCCATCGCTTGCAGAACCCTCACAGAGTAGAGTCGAGCTTATTACCTTAGCCAGGGTAAGTTTGCGGCTTGTTCCACAGATGTCAGCCCCAGGGTGACTGGTGATAGCTCGGCTATTCACAGAGAGCCTACATCACCTCAGCACTTCTTTGTGACGGGAAACCAAAGCATCAACAGGCCTGCTCTTTCTGGTAGCATTCAGCCTCTCATCACACCCTGAGATGCAGAGGCTTTTGTGGGGAACAGGCCTCAGTCACCTTCTGGCTCAAATGTCCTTTTGCAGCAAAGGCCGGCACCTCATGTCCAGTCCTTCCTTCATCTTATGTCCTGCTGTGGGAGGACACAGTACGAGATGGCACATCTCTGGGACTTTCCACAACAGGAGGCCAACACAAAGCCATGGGTTTCCTCTTATCATGCTATTTCATGACATAAAAGAAAGCACCCACCCGGAGAGCTAGAGCCTGAAAAATATGCACATTCCCCTACATTAGCATCCCTTTGATCTATAAGGACAGCGGAGGGAGGCACACTCAACTAGACCAGAGGGGCCGCATCCTTTCCTGTTCATCATCTTCCTTCCTGCTTTGGGGGCAGTGAGTCTCACATGTGCCTGGAAACCAGGTAAATGTCTGGGCTGGTGAAATGTACAACTTCCAGAAGCACATTGATAGTCAAGGTCAGGCATCAGAGTTAAACCTTTAACATCCGAAATGCAAGCTTCTTGTACTTTTATTACTCACCACTGGAAAGAATTCTAGACCATTCCAACTGAAAAATATTAGAAAGCTCATCTAACTTCATCATTCCACAGATGAGGAAATTTAGAGATCTGTTTCCCCAAGTGTGATCCTCTAACCAGCTGCACCAGAATCACCTGGGGGCAGAGATCCCTTAGGTCCTTCCCTAGATTTGCTACATCAAAATTGACAGTGGAAAAGCCTAGGAACCTGCATTTTAAGCAGACTCTTTAGGAAATCATATACCTGAGAATGTCCTAGAAGTACAGCTGGTTGATACAGCTCAGACCATCACAACAGCAACAATAACAGTGACGACAATATTGAGGGGTGATAAATCAGGATGGCCTCAGAGACTCATCTCCTCCCCTCTTCGGAGCTTAGCAAGAACTGGCTCAGCAGGTCCATGCAAACCAAGAGACAACGCTGTCCCCAGCCACAAAGCTCCCAGGATTCCCCCTTTCTAACAAGCCTATTTCCTCAACCAGGAAGCCCACTGATCCATAGGTGTCCCCTACTCTTCTGTCCCTATAATGAGGCAAGGTCACTCTTCTGGAGCTCTTTCCATGGTATGAACAGTCCCTCCAGGTCCAGCCCAAACATGTCTCTCATTTTATTGATTCTATAAACATCTATTGAAGGAACTCTATGCCACACGCTATGCTAGGTACCAGCAATCTGATGATCAAAAATAATGAATCTGACATCCAAATGTGGGTCTCCACCAAGAAGAGGCTGAGAATTGTTCCTCTACCCTGTAGATTAGAGATTAGGTAGGAAAAGCCTTCAGATTTGGGGAGAAGAATGCCTTCCTTCCAGACAGGAGATAGTAAAGGAAAGAGCTTCTCTCCAGGGTGGCCCTGAAGGGGGACACCAGGGAACATGTCCTTAAAATGGCCCCCCAAATGTGTTTCTTGACCTTCTCGGTCTCATCAGCCTCACATCGGAAACTGCACAGAAAATGGCTGCCAGTTTGGAAGTTCAAATGTGCCCACTTCCCTGCACTTGGCAGCCACCAAGCAGCCATCCTGAGACATAATCTCTTACCAAACGTCTTCCCCAGAGTTGAGGGTAGGTCCACCCAGACTGTGCACCTGCATCCAGCCCTAAGCCTTAGGCAAACTCATAACAACACACACACACACACACACACATCGAATGACCCAGAGTCTGCACAACTCTGCTGACCAAGGGCTCCTGCATAGTCCTCTAGTCCTCCAGTGCTCCTCCCCTCCCAGCCCAGTTGG